AAGTAAAATAATGTCGAACGCATTTCGGTCGATAGGTAACGCGTTCCAGAGACACAGATTCGGAGAAATGTGAAACGCGTTTCCTTTTCAAACGCATTTTGCATAGTTTTTGTTTGAAATGATGCAAAATATATCCGTTTTGCATACAGAATCTTGTAGGAATGTATCTGTACAAAACGTACGAGTTAAGCAACGTTAATTCTGGCACTATTTTAGAAATTATACTAAATGGGATTTGAATATTTTGTTCCTTGCACTGTTTCTCAACATGAAAATCATGACCCAAACTTTCCAAACGCAAAATTAAAATCGAATTCTTCTAAATGTTTAGGCTGCTAGACTGTCATATAAGTCTGATTGGTAGTTAGACTAATATTGAACATCAAAGTGTAAGAAAAATATGTTTTTCTTCCTTGAAAACTCATTTCACTAGGTTTTTATTGAAAGAAAACGTGTTTCGTAAAGTTCAACCAAGCATTGTTTTAAATATTGAACAATTCGAAAAGATTTAGTAAAGACTGATGTTAGTATAATGTGTACGACAACTTTGTTTGTTTATTTGTGAAGAAAAGAATCTCGAGTTATTTATAATTTGAATAATTATTGGTATGAATTCATATTTGGACTACTTGATAGTGACTGATGATACTGTGTACAATACTATTAAATACGGATTTAGTTCGTACTTTGTTAATGTAAGCGTGACTTATTAATAAAAAGAATATTCGATTTACAAAAGAAGATTCTTTGCATTTAGTGATACTTTTGGATAAAAGGATGACGAATTTACATATACAAAAATCTATCAAATAAAGAAAACAATTCAAAAAATTTATTTTTAAATTTCTTAAAATTTATATCTAAGAGATTCAACTTGTTTAAAGATTAAATACAATTTAAATTAATTAAAATCGTTTCAATTGGGTATTTAAATTTAAATTTAAATAAGTTCAAATAAAAAGTATACCAAGAGGAGATCAAGCTCGTTATTTGGTATAGGCACCAAGGAAATGATAATTTTTAATTTAATGATTTGGGATACTGAGAATCTAATTTAGTAAGTTTACGGAAGACTCTGAAAGACTATAGAATAAGCACTTGTATCATTAGATTATTTTAGTTGAACGGTTTGTGCACATGTCTTCTACTCTTATGTTCTTGTGTTCGAATCTATGTGTTGGCTTTATCAAAATTGATCTAAGTTATAGCTCTAAAGGCGTATGAAAAATGTAAGCGAGTAAATTAATTGTATCTGCAACTCAAAGTGCATGAAGTACTTGACGGTTTTCATTTTTTTCCATCTAGAATATACGACACCACAGTTAGAGAAACGCTACGAAACGTTTTTAGAAAAACGATCGTTTCACAGCGTTCGTATTAGCAGATGCGAAATGCGTTAAACCGGTCAGCATTAACGCGTTTCACAACTATGGAAAAATGCGTTTTGAGAACGCGTTTTTTTCGCAGAAATTTACGCCATGGGCAGAACAGCTCCATCTGTAAATTAAATCAATATCTTCATTATCATATAGCTCCCTTTCAGCTGTGCTTCTGCTGTCAGCACTTTGTATTGGTTGTTCTAAAATGATAGACAATAATGAAAAGCATTGCTAATATGTTGCTGCGTATCTCGAAACAAATGATATTTTTAGATTGACGAGATACAGGTAGTTCTCAAAAATATTCGATACAAAAAAAAATGGAGAGTTGCTATTCGCATCCTGGCAACAAGCAATAGTAACATATCGATTTCAAGATTGCTGATATTTTTCATGTTCACTTAAGAAATTTGAGATGCATTTCTAAAGGCTACGCATGAAAACAGACTGGAAAGTTTCATTGATTTTAGTCTCTAAAAAACGCAACCCGTAATTTATTGACACTGTCTCAAGATTGGCTTTGTGTGTTCAATACAGCAGCTCTCATTTGTAGAGTACTAATAGTCATACATTTCAATATTCATTATGGCAGGCCTCCGATTAGCAAATTCAGTGAATGCCGAATAGAATAAAAGAATCATTGTGGGTAATCTGACGGAATGAGTCAATCATTAGAAAGCTTGATTTCATTATTTTAGAGAACAAGCAAAAAATCAGTTAGGTATGTCTTTTATGCAATACATGTACATAAGTTGAGAATATCTCTGGTTTACTTTGGATTGAAGTGAACGAATCTTACCAGAAGGAGTTTGTTTCGTACTGTCTCTCGTCTGTTTGACTTTCCACCAGCACAATATATTTTCATCGCGTCCATTTGAACAATTCTTCTTGCCATTACAGACAACTCTCGAAGAAATGCACGTGCCATTGATGGTTTTATCGAGACAGGCAAATGAACCATTCTTACACCCACCACGAGAACCACAGAACAGTCAAGAAAACCATTACAAACCTTTGAAATCGTCAGACAACGATCATCTTTTCGACAATAGAAACGATCATTCAATATTTCACCGTCATTGTATTTCAACATTCGTTGTTCTTCAAGCGTCCCAATAGTTTTTATTGCCGTTGTCGAATTGTTCATACCCGATTTCAGTACTGTAATTATTTCCACACTTGATTCACAGATGTGGTCCATGAATGCACGGTGCATCGTCAGATAATTCGTCACTTCCATCAAGAAAATCATAGTCTCCATCAAGAAAACATGATGAATCCATGCATGAGCTTGATTGTTGAGTGCGTCCTTTCTTCCAAACTGGTTTACAAATCCATTCGGGACCACATTCAATTTCATCGAGTCCACCTGGTAAATGTTGGGTGTAGGTGTGGCTGGCTGTGGGTGGTGTG